ATTTATTGTCAAATATGCTGAATGTGTATGTGTGTGTGTGTGTGTGTGTGTGTGTGTGTATATATATATATTATATATATATTATGTGTGTGTGTGTGTATATATATATTATATGTGTGTGTGTGTATATATATGTATATGTATGTATATATATATATATACACACACAAACCGAAAGGTGTATAAATAGATAAGTACAGTACACATAAGTGAAAACGTATTTGATGATATGTAGATTTTTTTCTTTTCTTCTTTGTATTGAAAAAAGATCAATTCATATACTGTTGCATAACAAGGGGTAGGACTAGATAAGTTATTCACTTCTTCCTACTCCTTTGAACATAAAACTGTGATGATGTCTATTTTTCTTTTCTTTTCTTTTCATAGTTTTTACTTTCCTTCACTTTTGTCAATCTGTTTTTGTATTGTATGTTCTATATGTTCAATAAACAATAAAACAATAAAGTACTTATTTTATATTTATATTAATTTCTTTTTACCCAAACAAATGACGTTTATGCATTCGTGGAGGCGCTTTTATGACGTTTTTGCATTAGTGGATGCGCTTTTATTTTGAAGGTGGCTAACGCCACTCGCTGGCGGCAGATTACCGTAATGCAGAGCACTGGCAATCGCAGTGGCGGCTCACTTGACTTCGATTTTGCGAGTGGAGTCTGGCTTGACCGCAGTCTATACCACCATGACTTACATTTTTGTACAGTCGATGTTGAAGCCATTATTTAGATATTTGCATTATTAGCTTAACGATACATTGCGGACAGATATACTTTGACTATAGTGTGACCTCGACTTGAACTGCCTTAGCGACGGAAAATAATGTTAACACCTTTTGCAGACAAGGACCAAACGCCGTACATGCATCTCTTAGCTGGCCTGCGGTTTCACACCTACAGTCTTGTTCCAACCAGTTAGAGACAAAAGTGCTGTCAACAATTATGTTATTCGTAAATGTCAGTATTAGGAACAGTTTCTTGAGAAACGAAAGTGTTGCAACAGTTAGTTAGCTATGTTATTCGTTCAGTTATGTTTTTAGTAAAAGGAAAACATCTGGAACAACTTTGGGAAAAAACAAAAGCATTAGAACAGTCATCAGGAAACCGAAAGTGAAGTATCCATTGGGAGCTACGCCCTGCTGAGAATATATGACTTGTCTTGAGATGTTGCTTCTGCGCATTCCTGCCCTGATCACAGCCATTGTCTGTATCACGCTTGTGCCCTATACGTTCATATAAAAACTTCTTGCAAGAACTTCTCCATTTCAAGCCTCTGATTTCACACCTCAACTCAGCCCGAATTCAAACGAACACGCGGAGGACGGCGTTAGTGCACCAGCCACCAACCACCCTCCATCAATGTGTTAAAGGTTAGCGCACAGAATTATTTACATACTGTTTAAATACCTTTGCTTTCAGGTCCAGGCAGGTGGTAATCAAATCCAATCAATAAAAAGCTGATCCATGAGATACAAAACAAACAATGATGGTCTTCTATCACAATTGGTCATTTTATTTTCACTTGGTCACATCTTTTAAAGTATATCTGACAACTCTTGACAGCTAGTCTGTTCCTTCACTTCCACTGTATCAAGTTGAATCCCCCAACATTGCAGCAACATTTACAATCATAAAAATAATACAAAAGCAGATTGACACAATTTGAAAGAACAGGACAAAATCAAACTCAATGATCATTTAGGTTTGTGCAATGCAGCTGACATAGGGACTGCCTTTCTAAGGTGAATTCCGGAAACAAAAATGTGTATACCTTTCAGATTTACATTAAGATCATCGAGACAGACAAAATCTGGAAATGTTGGATTCAAGATGGAACTTCAAACTCTTGGGTGGTTACAAGCGCATTAAAAAAAATAGTAAACAGAAAATGAAAATGCCAACATAACTAAAAAAAGAAAGAAAACTTCCAACAGGATGACCCCCGTCCGTACAGGTCAGTGGTTCAGTAGCCAAAATTATTCCTATTACCAAGAAGTGCGTTGTTTAAAATAATTACTTTTTGTGCAGCAGATGATTGAAATGTTCCCTTACCAAAACGAATAAAATTACTTCCATGTACACAACTTGATCTGTCACTAATTTATGAAAAGGCTGAAAAATGCTAACTGTAAATTGAAAAGGTAAGAAGCAGGATCAATTGTCTTCATATCGCAAAACCTAAAAATCTAAATTACATATTGGAATGAAAAAATAACCTCAGTTTTTAACACATCAGCAGGCGGACCATTTGCTTTAACAATTATAGGTTTACCCGGACTCCAAAGGCTCAATAGAGTATGAATTTACTTGTTAATTATTAACATCAGATGATATAATTTATACAACATTACACAAAAGAGGGGACACCATAGGTGTATGGACTTTCACTTCAGATAAGAGTGTGGGGTGCATGCGGACACTTGACATATGTAAGTGAAATATGTGTGTGAGTGTATGTATACATGTGTTTGGATGTGTTACGCATTTCTTCTAATTTACACAGTGGGGAATCCTGTTGCTCATTTCTCTTCAGTCACTTTTTCCTCCGGCTCCTCCTCTGCTGTCTCCTTGGTTACTGTAGCATCACAGTCCAGTCAGTGCCTGCGTTCATGCCAGGTTTGCGAAGCGTCAAGACTGACATGGAGGCATCAAAGTCAAACTCAAGCTGGCTCATCTGACCATCTATGAAAGGCACAACAAAAATCAAAGTGACAAAACAAAATTGATGCAAATAGCATGTGAAAATGAAAGAGAATGACTCACCAGCTGTCTTCAGGGTTGCCTTGGTGGGCCTAGTAGCCCCCACCATGACAATGCGTTCAATGGTGGAGAGGGTAGAGAAATGGGCCGCTGGAGCAAGGTTTCTGTAGGCCATGATAATTTCATTTAAAATAATCTTTAACCTTCAGCAGTGTTCCAAAACATATTCATGATTTGCAGATTCAATCCATAAATTTGCAGATATTATTTAGAACCTGTCGATTATCAATAGGCGCGCCGTATTATTAGGCACAATATCAATGAATGAGTATGTGAAAGCATTTTCATCCATAAGGCGCACCGCACCAGGTTGTAATGCGCATTATCCTTGTGAAGCATTGTATGTTAAATAGTTTATTCTAATTGTACCACGTTTATTTGATGGCTTTAGCGCTATTATGCTCGGTTCAAAACAGACTTTAAATTTGTTCGCCATACAATGCTTTGAAAGGAGAGCAGGAGAAATCCTCTGACAAAAAAAAAAAAAAAAGTTTCAATGTGACTAGTCAATCTGGTGACCGGTGGTTGTTTTATTACTTTGGCTAGTGCTAAATGCTATCCTGGTTTATGATTCAATAGCTTTAAACAAGTCAATGCACATACCATTACAAATACTTTTTTGATTAGTCCTGGCAGCTATTGGAAGCTGGCTACGTCATTTAACCCGCGGTCCCGCATTATAACATTGGAAACGCGCAATCATACTGCAGCATTAGGCTAGTAAGACTATATTTTCCATGATTCTTAGAAACAGAAGCAGGAAGTAGTTCTCATTCCAGTATGATGAAAACATGGGATACTTTTCATGGGGCAATGCATATTTTTTTAAACGAACAGCAAGTTTATAGTCTTCTAATTTGTTTGGGTTTTTTTTTTCCACTTGTATTCATTGACACTTACACAGAGGATAGGTTGTTGTTGGCAAATGACAGCCTCCTGTGAATGAACTCCCTCTTCTCAAAGTTGAAAGTGTGTCCATCATCAATGTAGAGTTCTCCCTCTGCCGCTCGCTGGGAAAAAATGCAACACTTACTTGAATACAAAGTGGCAACCTATTTAGCGTGGTGTCAATGATTTGACGTACCTGATGGCTAAGAGCCACATACAAGGTGTAGGGGTCGTGCTCCATACAGGAGGAAGATCGACGCACACGAAGCTTTCTGGGAATGATGGAGCCACCACGTTGGAAAACCGGGATCTGACGTGAAGACAGAAAACACTGTTGGTGAGTTATGACTGGAGAAACATAACGTACACTTTTTAAGAAGCAATCACGTACAATGTTTGTAGTCTAAGTGTGTGTGTGTGTGTCTTACAGAGCTCATGGTAACAGGAATGTAAAGGTTCTGGCCGCCATTGTGCTTCTGGAAGGTGTGGATGTCAAACCAAACCTGACAGGCACATGCGACAGTTCAGACTTTACATGATGGGCACCACCAAGTTGACAGGAATTGTTTGAGAGCATGAAATCTTTTTCTCGTACCTCTTCTTTTCCTGGCAGGTAAGCAGTTACACCAGTGGCTCCCTCTTCAGTGACGGGGTGCACCAACAAGTCTCTGCCTGCAGCAAATTAGGTATGGTACAGCACATTTTATAAAACACTACCGAAAGATTGACTGATTTGTCTTATTTCATAAATCATTGGAGATAACTTCAATAACGCAGTGAAACTATGCAGCATTATATTTTTATATCTGATATTTATATTTTGCCATTTGGTCTCACCAATCAAGAATTCATCCTCCAGAGTGTAAGTAGCAGGGTCCTGAGGATATTCCACCCACAGCGGCCTACAAAAAAACAAGAATGTCAAGAGTCATCTTACACTGTGGGTACACTATTGTTTTGCTTCTTAGCAGAGAGCTGGATGCTTGACGGTTCTATCAGCTATTTGAAGGAGGGAGGGTCAAAAAGTATATGTCCACCCTAAAATTGAATGTCCAACACAACACCCAAACTAAGCTATGACGATAAATTAAAATGTAATCAGGTGGTGTATAAGTATTTAAAACCGTACTAAATGCTCACCTCATGACAGGATGCCCAGTGTGATACGTGTGGTAGAATTGCTGGTACCAATACGGCAGGAGGCTATAGCGTTGCCGCACAACCTCTCGGATCAGAGCGGTGTTCTCTGGGCCGAAGAGCCATGGCTCACGACGGGTGGTGTCCATGTGGGCGTGGGCCCTGAAGAAGGGCTGATAGGCTCCTGTCTGGTACCAACGTACCAACAGCTCTGAGCTGGGAGACTTGAAGAAACCCCCAACATCAGCTATAAGACAAGATGTGCAAAGATAATTGAGGATCTTTCGAATCATAATACAACCAAATACTAATGTTGTGGTTCCTTTAATTATAAGTTAAAATCATTTCTTTTCCTAAGCTTGTAGCTTCATTTACTTGCATATCGGATCAATTTTTTCCCATTTAATTGAATCCAAATGCCATTAATTCATTCCTCTTACTCCTAGTTGTTTTGGGGAGTTACATTTTAAAACACACACACACACACACACACACACACACACACACACACACACACACACACACACACACACACACACACACACACACACGCGCACACACGCACGCTTAGCAGTGACATTCCAGCAATGCACATTGCATTTTGCAAATAAAATCATTTTCCTCTGATGACATACTTTCAAGTTTGTTGCTAGAGAGCCACTTTAAGAGTTAAACATGCTGGCCTTTCCTTGTTGAGGACAAACACTTCTAAAAGATGACCTGAAACGGAGGCACTTACCACCGCAAAAAGCTATTCCAACCAGACCCATACTCAGACACATAGGGATGGAGATTTTTAGATGACTCCACTCAGCAGCATTGTCGCCAGTCCACACAGCACCTAGAGATGCGCAAACACCCTTGAAACACACAAGCACTGACTCCTGTTGCCTCAGGAGACAGTCATAGAAGGTTTGGTGAAAGGCAATGAAAACAGATGAAGGCTTACCATAGCGCTGTGACCCAGCAAAGAAGGCACGAGCCAAGACAAAAGGTCTTTCGACCCCTCCTGATCTCTGGATTAGGCCCTCCGCTGTGGCCTTTTGCTGCAAAAAACACGACAATTCAGACAGGCAAGACTATAAACGGCACATGCAAATCTTCAATCACAAGTGATGATCTTGCGAATGTTCGATAAGCCTTGTCTGGAAGTGAACACTGCAAGCACTGATGCTCACCACGTAAAAGCCATAAAGGTTGTGCAGGTCACGGTGCTCCCACTCTCCATGCTTCGAGTCCTTGTGCATGGTGATCTCGGGCCCGTTGAATATTGAAGGCTCGTTCATGTCATTCCATGTATACAAGTTCTCCATCGTGCCCTGGAGAGAACAGTGGCTCAGAAAACTGGCTCATCAAAATACTCTACCTATGCACCCCTTGATATTAAATGTATAATGGTACCTTGACTTGACTACTACTTCTACTTTGTTACTTCACATCACAAGTAGTAGTAGTAGTTCGACAGATAATGAAGATAATGAATCATGAAGAATTAAAAATATATATATATTATGGTTTAACTTTGCTCTGAAACTAAACATCAAGTAAAGCGAATTCTACGAGCTTCATTTGGGCTGAATAGTTTCGAAAAAATCGAATTAGCAATTTTTTTCCCTTTAATATTGCGATTGAATATACCATTAATTTTTCAAGGTCCACGTCCCATGTATTTTTAAACAAACGCAAGCAATAAATCATTCTTTATTACAAGATCAGGTTTATGATGTATAAATGTTTTGGTTATATCGGTTAGGTCTATGTTAAAATACAGGCAATTTAACAGTGAATTGATATGAAAAAGTTTATCAACTTCGCTTGTGGTTGTGCAGGGTTTCCACTTGCTTTTTTATTTATGGACCTTTTAAGGACTTTTGAGGGCTAATTTAACCATTTTGTAAGGACTTTGTCTCCATTCAGCAGGGGATTCACAGAAATATGCGGGCTGAACAGAAAGCCACATATCACTGAGCTGGTGTTCAAATCATTGCTGCCAAAGGAAGGGCACATCTTTATTTAGGGGCAATCAGCTAACCCTTTATTTGACATACTGTATGTCAAAAAAAAAAAAAAACTTGAATTCAACCTCAAATAAAGTACACAAAGAAAATTTTAAATTTTGAAAATAAACTTCAATTTATTTTCGAATAAAAATAATTTTTTAAGGATTTTTACTGATTTTAGAAGCTTTCCCTGAAAATTAAGGACAATTAAGAACATAATTTTACAAGTTTCTTATGGGTTTTTATAAACTTTAAGGACCCATGGGAACCCTGTTGTGGAATTAATAAATACTAACTTTCAATTTTTAAGATTTCACTATGAAAACTTCACAAAATTCTACCAAACAAGTGTTGCGTAAACAAACGTAAGTCAGATTGCATCAATATTATGCTTTTCATTGTCCATGAAATAATAATTTATATAAACATGTGGCTTGGACTTGTTAAGCACTGAATTTGCCCCCCCCCCACACACACACACACATAAAATAGGTCTAAAAATAAAGCCTCACGAACTGACAGAAAAGAAGCACTTTTTTCATTGATACTGCAGCCTTTTCAGTTTGAAAATTACATTTTACTACACTGCATTGTCACGAGTTCGGTTATTGTTCAGCCTTATACTTAACACACAATGCAAAATTCTATTGACAGACTAATGACTCATCTATGTCAGAGTTACAAACATTTTGGCAAAAATAGTCATCGGTACTTATGCTTTATCCCATGCAAAAAATTGACTCATTTTAGTGCAATTTGCTGTGTCACCTAGTTGTGAAACCCTTAATTTGTCTGTATTCTGTATTATACTGTTAAACACACCCGCACCAGAAGTGGGGCTGTGATGAAGAATGGCATTTCCACTAATTCCAATGGGAAGAGCTGATTCACAAGATGAGTGGAGTAACGAGGTGCTCAAAGGAACGAATTAAACTCAAAAGTCAAGGCACCACTGTTTCTATTAGTTGACTCCAAGGTCACTGCCCTTTGTTAAACTTCATTCTAGCGGCCATGGGTCTCACCTCATACTGGTCGTAGGCAAACATGCTGGCCCACCAAGCCCTCATGTCTTCACGTGTGAAGTCTGGATAACCGGCACTGCCTAAGCAAAGTCATTCAAGTCCAACACAAAACAGGGCATGGTTAATTGGTAAGATTCATCATCAAACATCTTGTGTAACGCCAGCCAATTTTCATTCCATGTTATTATTGTGTCTTACCAGGCCAACACCAGCCTTCATAGTCACCGCCATCTTTATTCTTTGTGTAGAAACCTTGAGACTTGATTTCATTATGGATCTTGTAGCTGCTGTCCACCTTGATATGAGGGTCTACAATGGTTACCATCTATTACACAAAAAGTGGGAAATTATTGTTAAATGTTGAGCAAAATCATTTGGGTTCTACAATGCATTGAGATGCTTGGGGTCTTTTTAATTTTCTGAGTGACAGTGAAAGCAAAGTAGTGTTCCCCTATTATATCACAGTTAACCTTGCTTATTTTTCTGCTCTGGCTCTTGGGAAAGGCGGACGCCTGTTGCTCTGCTCTTGGCCAGCTCTGATTTCATCAAATTTATAGAGAGAAAAAAAAAAAAAAAAAAAAAAAAAAAAAAAACCTAAATAAGGCAGTGATTTCCTTTTCACAAACTCGTGTGTCTATTTTATTTTTCTGTTTCGTTCATCTTCGGGCCGTGGTGGATGTTGCTCATCATGGGATGTGTGTGTAAGTGCATGTGTATGCGTGCATGTGTGGTAATGGACCGATCAAAAAGTAGATCTTTGGTCAAAAAGGTTGGGCACCACTGCTGTAAATGGTCTCTCTAAAGCAGGGGTGTCAAACATACGGCCCGCGGGCCGGAACTGGCCCCCAAGGAGGTTCGATCAGGCCGCAGGATCATTTAAAAGTGAAAAAAAAATGCATAAAAGACACAGAATGAATTATTTTTAATAAGGTGCAGTTCATGGAATATCCGCTAGGGAACACACTGTTTTGATCAGATTAGAAGACAACATTGTTTTGATCAGAGAAGAAGACAACCACAGTCTGTCTGTGACTGAGACAGACCCAACACAGCAGACGCTATCAAGTACATGTGGATACTTTATTCTTAACACATTTAATAGCACTCTTCTTAGTTTGTAAGGTGTAGGCAGGGATTACATTTAGATTTTATATGCACATGTGTAAATGCTTTAAAAATTCCTTTATAAATCTCATTTAATGTTAAAATGCATTACTATATTTTTTAATACCAATTACTTAGTTAAAAGTTTTGTGCCTTTGTACCATCAGTGGGATCAGTTGCAATGCATATATGTGAATGATAAAAGTAAATTGCGCATTAGTCTAAGGAAATCTAAGGTGTTTCATGAAATATTTTGTAAAAGATATGTTCATTCAACATTTTCCTAATGTTCTATTGCTTCTTTAGATCAAAACAAAGGAAAGACATTATTTTGGTTATTTATAGCATGGTATAATTTTAATGGTCCGGCCCACTTGACATCAACCGAGGCCGTATGTGGCCCACAATGTGAAATGAGTTTGACACCGCTGCTCTAAAGTCTCTCTAAAGTGCATATTTTCACCTATTGCAGGTCGGTCTGGAACCCCGCCGCCCCCGAATAGATGGGGGTTCACTGAAAACAGATGATCCTTTAAACGCCAATATGAGCTCCGATTGTCTTGTCGGGCCAATCATCCATACCTTGCGCTTCTTATCCATGAGACCCTGAAGCATTTCCTTGGGTGTGGGAAACTTGTTGGTGTCCCAGGTAAAGTAGCGTTTTCCGTCCGTGTGCTCAATATCGAGCCAGATGAAATCATAGGGAATGTCATGCTCGTCGAAGCCGGCATCCACTGACTGTACGTCTTCCTGATCGTTGTAGTTCCAGCGGCATTGGTGGTAGGCCAGTGCGGCCAGAGGAGGGAAGGCCTGGGTGCCTGACCAAAGTTACAACACATTGAGGATCCAAGTGAAAACTGATTGAAACGTTATTCATACTGGGAGGAAAGCGAAATCTCAATGAAGTCACACTAAGACTTTGTAAGATTGTCCATTAGGAATCATCATTGCATGGCAGTTGACATAATTTTACAGTACCTGTCAGGGAGGCGTACTGCGAAAAGACATCTTTTGGTGTTGGGCCAAGCATTATGAAGACATCAATGATGCCGCTTTCAGAGAACCAACGCACATCAGTCTGTGGGGTCTCACTGGAGCCCTGCACGTAATCCAGCATTTTTCCAAACACAGTCTGAAGAGAACCAAATGAATGCATCTTGCTAAATTGGCAACAGGTTCATCAACACTCACACACCAGCATTTTGTGTTATGAAAAAGCTCCGGCACAAACCTTCCCTGCAGTATTGGAGCTAATGTCAACCCAGGTCTCAGCAGCATTGAGCCAAAACATTCCTGTTGTTCGCTGTGCATTGTGGGCCAACATAACAGGTACGGAACCATAAAGTGCCATAGGATTATCCAGCTCATATTGGAATACGTCCAAATTATAGAGCCGATATGGATCTCCATTACTGAGAAGTGGAGAGACACAAAATATATTTAGCCCCTGCAGGAACCACAGCACTGAATAAGCAACTTTCGAGCAAACCTACTTCTTGCATATTCATATAGATTTTATTTGCAACTCACTCTGTAGTTTTAAGTCGGAGGCTGTCTGCGTGTTCTGGAATGCCATAGACGTGCTCCACGCCCGGCAATGAAAAGTCTAGACCGACAGCGGTTGGACCTGTAACGTGATTGCAGAATAAATTTAAAAAAAATAAAAGAAAAGAAAAAAGAAAGAAAAAAAAGGAACATTTAAGAGGGGCAACTATAAACCCTAATTTACAAGAGTTTGGTATTTATTTCATTTTGATTGTTTTCTAATTCAGTTTGTCTTAACTAGTTTTTAAAGCATATTTGTTGTCAATTGTCTTTACTTTTGGGAAAAGGCCTCTTTTTAGTTTATTAATAGTAGTGTTTTTTTAATAGGGCATTTGTTGAGTGTTAGATTAAAAAAGGGTGTCCCAATAAGCATTGTGTAATAAAGTAAACTTCAATGCCCCAACGACAGTTTGTCCTTCCTTCCTTCTATACAGCCTGACCGTAATATCAAAATAAATACAAAACCCCAAAAGCTCAAGTATGAAAGTAATTGACAAAGATGAAAATGAGGGACATTTCCATCATAATTGTAGTTAATTTTAGTTGCATTTATAAACATAACATGTAGTTCATTCAGTTTCAGTTAACCTTAGTGTGTGCCCGTGTCGATGGTGCTCTGATTCACAACAATTTGACAGTTACCATTTGGTTTGGTGTCTGTAAATGATTTAAACGTTTCGTCCCACATGCCCTCTTCATCTTTTTCATCCAACATAGCCTGTAAGGTGAGAGGGGAAAGAAGTAACATCTTATTCAGAAGTATTTATTTCAGATACAGTTGCAGGAGGGGTCCTACCATGCCAAAGAACTTTTTTTTAAAGTAAAAAAATTCTAATAATCTAAGCATATTTTAGATTTTAATGAAACTCTTCTTTATAATGATGGCACAACTCTGAATCTAAAATCTGAGGTCAAATGGAGCAGGAGTTTAAGAGCTACGGCCTGAATTTTGATGTTTTCAGCAAAAAGGGACGTGGCTGCATTTCTTTGATCCTTTACACCGTATGTCAGGACCTGGGTCAGTCGGTCTAATGGTTCAATCTTCACAAAGCAGGAATGTTGTTGGAAATGGATTTCAACAAGGATTCCAAATCTGCAATCATTACAAAGACTGGTGCAAATTTTAGTAACTTCATCTTTTGACCGATAATTTGACCTTGACATTTTTCATTAAATATGCCTCACGTGTCCTTAAAAACAAACGTTTCAGAAATGTAAATTGTTGAACACCAATAAGTAGTCCAAGTATCCATAAGACTCTCAATGAATATTGCATGAAAATATGAGGGTACTTTGATGCAGCTATACCAAAGAAGTTACATTTCTGAAACTTTTCTGTTTTACAGAAAATGTAAGCGATTACATTTGATGAAAAAAATGTTATGGTCACGTGATCCACAATGTGACATTATAGGTCAAAAGGTAAAGCTATGAAAATATGCACCAATCTTCCAAATGGAATCCCCTTTGAATCCCCTTCCCAACAATACTCATTTTGTGAAGATTGAGCCAGTAGTTTCTGAGATATAAAGGCTCAAAGGAAGGCAACCACGGCCCCTTTTGCCAAAAACTTCAAAATTCGACGGGCCGTACCTCCCGAAACCCCGCTCTGATTGACCTAAAATTTGACATTTAGCATCACGGCATTACTATAAAACACCAAGTTTCACTTTAAATCAAAATCTGCCCGGGTGTACCGACTGAGTGGTTTGGCATGGAACGACCCGTAGGTACGACTGAATTTGTGTGCAAGACCTCATCTTCCAAATTTGCCTCCTCAGTCTCTCGGTCTGCCTGCCTGCTCCATGGCACAAGATCCAACAGCATAGAAAGGGATATGACAAAAGAGAGAAGTATGTCACTTTGGAAAGGACATTGTTTTGAAGATATACATTACAGTGTAATTAACTTGGGGAAAATGGGTCAAACACAGAGGATGACAGCGCACACCATAGTCAAAACAAGTGCTCGAACAGTAAAAGAACCTCAGAAAATTGTGAGGATTCTTCCCGCTATCTATACTGTGCCGTGAAAAAGTATTTGCCCCATTCCTGATTTCTGTGTTCTTGGCATATTTATCACACACACAAAGATTTCAGTTCATCAAACCAATTTTAATATCACACAGAGACAACCCAAGGAAATACAAAATCCAGTTTCTAAATGTCAATTTATTTAAACACACACACAAAAAAAAAAAATCCAAACTTGCCTGTCCCTGTGTGAAAAAGTCATTGCCCCCTGAACCTAATAATGGGTTGTGCCACCCTTTGCAGCAATAACTGAAATCAAGAATTTTGGCCCACTCTCCTTGCTTCAACGCCACCATTTTGGAGGGCTTTCTAGCATGAACTGCCCATTTGAGGTCACAACCCAGTATCTCAATCGGATTAAAATCCAGATTTTGGTTTGGCCTCTCCAAAATTGCTGGTGTGTTTTGGATCGCTGTTCTGCTGCATGATCCAAGAGCGCTTGAGTTTGAGGGCGTAAAATGATCGTTGGATGTTCTCCGGCAGGATTTTCTGGTCGACAGCAGAATTCATTGTGCCATCAATTACAGAAAGTTGTGGCATGATGCGTTTGTTTGTTGTAGCCTACTTCACTTTGTCTGACAGGTTCTATTTATGTGATTTCTTGATTCAACAAATGTAGCGCTAGTTGTTGCCAGCTTTCCCAAAACTCATAGTTAATTTGTGATTCAACAAGGGGGGCAATTATTTTTTTCACTGAGGGACAGGTAGTTTGGGATTTCTTTTTGTGCCTTAATACATTAAATTGTCATTGAGAAACCACATGTTGTATTTGCTTGGGTAAACTGTGTGATAGTAAAATTGGTTTGATGAACTAAAAACTTTGTGATAAATATGCAAAGAACACAGAAATCAGTAAGGGGGCAAATACTATTTCACAGCACTGTACATGTGTATCTAGTCAATGTGGAAAGTCTAAATTGAGTTGTAGGGTTGCTTGATGTGCTCCAGGCAGCATCCAGGCAACAGATGATTCTTAATTACACATCAAAAGGTGATGCAGATGCTGTGGGTTAGGAACCAAGTCAACACACTATTGCCGCTATTCCATTAGCCCCTAACAGCCCCATAACACACCAATCCACTTGGCCCCGGGCACCACATCTCACTGCTTCTTTTGCTTTTCCATTACATCAGGCGCCAGACAAGATGGGGGCGGGATCAACTTAACTGTGCAAGCCTCTCGCAGCGAGTGGTGTTCTACCATAATATTACATAATATTACATGTCTCGTGTGTATTCAACCTTGTCTAGCGAACTTAACTTAGCATAGGTTGCTCCAAAGCGCCATCTACGTGGCTAAACAGTGCTCGTCTCTGAGTGTAACTGTAACACGATGTGTGATATGTGTCAGAAAAATGACTGAGGACCAAGCGAACGTGACAGTTGCTGCTGTTTCATTTTTTTAATAAGTCCTCATGTCTGCTGGATGGAGCAGCCATTAATGCCAGAGAGGGACTTGTGAATTTGAATGAAACCAGACCCTTGAAAATCTGTATTAAAATGTTCTTTACTTAGTTCGAAGTTGGTTTAGTGTTCAATCGTCAAGTTTGGCAAACTCAAATGTTATGTGCAGAGGTGTCTTTATTTAAAGGACACTGTCGTTGGTTGGGGCGGGGGGGAAGAATACGGGGGGGGGGATGGACGTGATTCCTAAAGTAATCGATGGAATACTCGATAGGCTAATCGACTGCAAAAACTTGTGACAACCCTACTCCCAGCTTTGGCTGGAGAACTTTCATTCAGAAGAATGGGACGTGTCAAGGGGTTTGTGAGATTGTGAAAATTTTTACCCAAGATTTATCCATTAATTCATATGACATTGTCAATATGATTCACGGTTGATGTAAAACACGAATATGTTTATTGTATATGCTGTATTTTTATGATTTTGGCGACACCCAGCAGGCGGCTGCATCTCGCTCGTGTAAAACCATGGGCATGTCCAGCGAAGTTCCTTCTATCACTGTCAGCCAATCAGATGACTGTGATGATATGGCCCCCCCACTGTCCCCAGAAGGCCAGCGTTTTTGTACCAACTCCAAGATGGTTCTGAAAAGTGGTTCCACTGTAACCGCTTGACTCTGAAAAAGTGTAATGGAAAAGCAAACAACCGTGGCCAAGCAAGGATGTCTTGGTGTGGAATGGGGTGAAGGGAAAAGCGCCTTATGGGGTGGGGAAAGAGGAAACATGTTCACATTGGCGGTGTGTGCATTCTAGACTAATGCATTCTTATTCTTAAAGCCAGAAGTGCAACCCTTGACATAGCAAGCGAGAGGAAATACTTTTTAGGAACAGAGTAGAGGCATTTCTGGAATAATCTTAACACTGATACTGTTCACTACACTGGCAATTTTTCAAAGTCGACTTTTGACTATGGGACCGGACAAAAGCCCATCTCAGTTTCCGTAACCATGTATACATGTTTTAATGTATTTAACGATAATAACAAATCAGACCTGTCAATATTCGTACGTGGCAGGTCACAAAGGCCAACAAGCTCACGCAAGTTGAATTCCTTGTTTCAAATTAAATGACTGAACAAGAATGGCATTACTATCACCATGCAAACTTATATTTTACTTAATTCATAATTGGAATGATTTTTTTTTTAAGATACAAGATGTAAAAAAGAGCCCATTCTATAGTTCTTGAATGATTTCAACTAAGCTAAGAGGGAAATTATGACATTTTGAAGGAAATTCCATCATCAGCAAATGCATTGTACTCTCAGCCACATAAACACCACCCATCAACAGCACACCGTCCAAACTTTCCCTTTTGCCTCATTTAAAATTGGACTTTTGTTTCAAGAGACTCTATGAGTATGTTACTATTTACAGATTAGTACAAGGAATATGATACACAGCATTTTCTTTACCTAGAGAAAACACTCTTGACATTATTCCACACACTAGCCAATGTGCCAGTTATTAAATAGGAGAAACTAGGGCGATAAGGAGAAGAGGACAGAACGAGTCAGACAATTCTCAAATAAAAACGAATGTAGTCAAAACCAATGACTGAAGTATCTGTGTGGTTAAGGCATTTGTCAAAGTGTGCGTGTGTGCGTGTAAGCGTGGTCTCTCACGTGTCCTTGCGTATCCGTAAGTGTTCAAAGGCCAAAAGGCCACGCGAGTTTAGCGAGAGCAGCACATCTCGCCCCTCCATAATGTCCAATCGGAAGGGCAGTGCACTGACAATGACCCTTTGAGACTCCGCCCCCAGGGACAGAACCACTCCGTTCTCGTCCTGAGACAAGAGAGACAGGCTGGGGGGAAAAAATGAGAACGGTAAGAGAATGCAGACATCAAGTTGAGAGGATTTGGCTGGGATCATGAAACCTCAATTCACAAACGGAATTGAAATATTCAGCGTTTAACTGGAATGCTGCGACAGACGTCACCTCCATGCCAAAAGCTCCCACAACACGCAGGAGATAACAACCCATGAGACACTTACGGCTCTGTAGGCGGCTCTCTGATGAGCACGTCTGGGACCTCATAGCGAGGCTTGAGCGGCTTCAGCTCATTAATTTTCACCCTCGTTATGTTTCCCTGGAGACGATAGAGCTCCAGGAGCAGACGCACCTACAAGCCAGCAGGAGAGAAGACAAAGGAATTGGAATGCTGTACAGTATATGTTATGCATCCTGACTAATCATATTCATGTTGATATTTCATACAGTTAGCAGATATGCCTGCAATCGGTATGACTTGTTCTGTTTTTGTTTTACAGCATGCGCTTCAATCACATTTAGAGATGCAAACTAATGAAATGTCCTTTCAAGGATTGCATTATTTTAGTCATGTTGATTAGAGATGAGCAATTTATCATATTCAAATGGACATTGCAAATGATAGTTTGAAAGAGGTTGTGGAGGGGAGGGACGCTTCATTTTGGTTGGTTAACTTTATTTATTCTCATTTTATTCATTCATTTATAATGTCAAGATAAGATCAGTGCTTAAGAAGTGCAGTCCAAGTTTACATGTTCTTTCATGAATTAGATTGAATTTGTCTGCATTATTTTTGTAATCTGATTCATTACTGAGTGATGAATCTTTATGCCAACCTTGTGCGGTAGAATATTGAAGTTGTTGGGGAGAACGCTTCAGAGGCAGTAAGTCAAAGTGCTTACTGTATTTCATGCTACTTTTTACCCACGCTTTGAGCACTGCGGCTTTTAATGTAATACAGTTTGTTTATGAAATTTTACTGATGAGTTTCAAGCCGCCAATACACTCACCCAAACTCTCGACGGAGTTTCGTCTCATTTGACTAACAAAATTACGGAACACGTCAAAGTGGACCAATGAAACTGTCTTGAATCCACCCTCATCCTAAATACAAATGAGCCACTTGCAGTTGGAGTGCGCACACGTGAGGGCGGAGCGGACTGTTTGAAGAGAATTAGGGATAGTAAATACAATTACCACGCAGAGTACTTATAATAAGCAAGAAATGAGAGCTGAACTTAACGCCCATGCCACTCTGCATTATTTTTGTAATGACATGGGCGTTAAGTCCATAATGGAAACAGAGTACGCGCTGGTAAATTAAGCCGCTGAGACACATGTCCAAAGCAGCAAGGTACAAGGGCATATTAATTATATCAATGTCCTTGTGTGTGTAGTGAATAAAATGAAATGGTAGACATGGTGCAGTATGGCACACTTCCTGGTAAACTTGTGCTCCAAAGTGTATTTTGTGACATGAAAAGACCATCTCTCGCTGCATCTTTCACATCAAAAGTGGAATCTCATTCAGTAGACTTATTTCACAGTACCGGCTAGAAATTATATGGCAAAGCTGTACGTGTACAATAATCCCTCGTTTATCGCGGTTAATGGGGACCAAAACCACCCGCGATAAACGAAAATCCGTGAAGTAGCGACCCCCCCCCCTCCATATAGGTACATGTACATAATATTTATACGGCCAAATTTAATGGTATACATGCATGTAGAAGTAAATTTTGAAGTCATTAACATGACTTAATGCTTTATACGAATAGATTTAAACATCGGATTGGAAGCAACTTTATTGTCAAATGTGCTGGATGTGTAACATACAGCAGATGAAATTTCTTCCCTCTCAACATAAAACAAGAAACAAGAGGATGTATAAGTTAGGTTAGTTTATGAATAACAAAATACAGTAAACATATACATGTAGTACTGTATATGTTGCTCTATGTGACTCGCTGTTGTTTTGCTGACCTTCGCTGCTTATAGCGGACCTTTTGCGGACTTAAAAAAAAAAAAAAATTATGAATATGTTTGAAAAAAATCTGTGATGCACTGAAGCCGCTATAAACGAACCGTGAAATAGCGAGGGATCACTGTCTATCATTGTGCGGTCTAGTCCAACATTTACACACATACAATTAACTAGTGATGTGTTAAATGAACATGATGGCTAGCTATATTATTTTTATGATTATTTTTTAAAGCTGACAAATGTCCATAAAAACTAATGAAGTTATCAAATGAATTATTGACAAAATATTAACATTTTGTTGCTGCAAATGGCGTACATATGTACCCTTTAAAAATCCATGATGTGGGACATGTGTCTTTACAAATGTCCCATATTATAACATGGAGACCTGCAGCTATTAATACGAAGCGGCCAATGTATGTGCAAATTGTTTTATGGCTAAATTTAGCTGTTGCGACGTTTAATCAGATGCGTTTTGTAGACCCGAAATTATGGTAGTAAATCAACTCTAATTGACGTTGATTTAAAAAAATAAATACTTAACTCATTCAGTACCTGTCAATTCTAGACCCCCCTTTTTTTGTTTTACCCTAAGTCTTGGAGAAATTGGGAAAAAAAAAAGTATCTGGGGTTGAACGTGTGGAGTGTGAAAAGACAAATATGTCTTTGGGAGTGAATGAGTTAAAGAACTTTCATATTTGTTCATGATTCATGTGGCTTTAACTTAGCATACGCATAACCTATAAGACCAAAACATTTATGTATCATAAATCTGATACTGTTTATTGTAAAACAGATTACTTTATTGCTTGAGTTTCTTAAATATACATAGGACTAAGACCTTGAAAAAAAAATTGCATATTAAATCGCAACCGTAACATTGAAGAAAAAAAGATCTCAATTGGATTTATTTTGGAAATTGTTCAGCCCTCTGTAGATGTTTTATTATTTTTCACTGTAGTTTTAAGCGGCATGCATCATACTGAGAGGTGTTTCTATTATTTTGCCTCTCTCAATAAGCTAAACAGTGTAACAAAAAAATTATTTGTAGGCATGTCTTAGTATAAGATGCATGTCAATTCAAGCTGCAAGCACCATAGGAAACATATTGGTAGATGAAAACAAATGGCTGCATTATTTTCTCACAAGGGCATCCTTTCTTGGCATGTGTGCCTAATGTGATGGCCGGGGTGGCTACAATGTCTTCACTGTGTTGCCATACTGTGGGTGCTGTACCTTGTTCTTGTCATTCTTGAGCTGCAGGGTGAGCCTACTGTTTGTGAGCTCCATAGTTTCTAGTAGGGCTCGATAGGGCGACTCACCAGGGTTCAATGCTCGCTGACGTCTATTAATAAAGTCAAAGAGAAGGCACAAATGTCTCACTCAAAAGGAGGGACGTGTATTTAAATGCGAGTGAGTATACTGTGCTTCCATAATTCTATTCGATATATTAACTCACTTGCAAAAGGCACTCTGGTCACAGGTTTTGAAGTTGGCTCTCTCCACAGCCAGTGCCCCACTGAGACACACAGCAAGCCAGAGTGTCAAGATAGGTGCCATCCTACAAAGGGAATGAAGATTAAAAAAAGCGCCAGATGATTAAGCACTGAAATCGATCACTCTGTCAGAACAATCAGCATACTGAACTAAGAGGCCATTAGTATAATCACTAGTTCCAAAGGCTGCTGCCAGGATTTTGTCTGGATCGCAAAGTTCCTAATTTTAGGACTCTGGACAACATTTTCACAGTCCTTCAATGACAGGCTTTGTACGGCATTTTTAAAATTTCGCCCTGGTAGGGAAATGCTAATATTTCCTCAACTCTGTATGCCAACCCTTTGCACATTGATCACCATGTACCTTATTCAAGTCAGCTGTTACTGTCAAATATGCTCTATGTGTAACATACAGCACAGATGAAATTACTTTGCTCTCTCAACCACAGTGCAAACATGTAGTGCATTGAAGACACACAACTAAAATGTACGTATAGTTACATAAGACATAAATATATAAATATGTTAAAATAAAAAATAAAATAAACACATTATTGTAATACAAAAGGGGTAGCACATAGTAAATGCCATATTTAATATTTGTCTTGTCTTTAATATCAATGTTATTCACATTGGTGACTGAAACTGTTTCCCTTGGGCATGAATAAGCTATCTATGTTGTGCTAATGGGGACCAAGAAGACCCCAAGGACCACATGAGTAGCTCACGGGTCTGTTCGAAAATTAGCTGACCAGGGGGACATTGTGGTTTCCCAGTAATATTGTACAAGTAATCAAATAAAAACGTAAACACTTGCAGATACTGATGAAAATTTTTATGTACTGATATTTTTCAGTTTCCTACCATGTTACATTACACTGGTCAACAGATAATTTTAATCAAAGATGACTGTGTCCCTGAAAGTATTTTTGACATGGATTTTGAAAAAATCTACTTTTTCCCCCCTCACACATCAGGTTTTTGAGGTATTTTCTTTTTTTTAAGTTTGACTTATAAAAGCTTAGCTCTTGTAGATTTTACCGTGCGTTGTAATTTATAGCTATGACGTTTTAAAATAAAATCCTCCTGTTGCTAAACCTAACCCTTAATTCATAAATATGACTATTTTAACTATGACTGTTATTACGTTAACATTCCGAAAACCTGATGTCCTACAGAAAAAAAAAAAAAAAAACCTAGGGCACAGTTGGAATCACATTCAAAGGAAAAGTTTACTTGCATCTCTGATTTAAAAAAATCATGTGTTAACCAATGTTATTGTTAAGAATTATTGTGAGAAATCATTAACTTGATATGTGGCATCACATCAATGAATGTCAAATTATTAATAATCTAAGTAAAGGTAATATGAGCAATTTGTTATTTTATAAGTGTGCATCAAACTGCTGGCTTATCATGAATAAGTACCCAGGGATAAATAGCGCTCGGTTTCAAAAAGGTTGGTGAACGTCGTGACAGCAGACCATTGCCCCCAAATTGTGGAAAGCCCTCCCTTTTGAGCCAGGAGCTGCCTCTTCAGCAGCTTACATTTGTTAAGGCAGCCATTCCAGTACGACTATATATATATATATATATATATATATATATATATATATATATACACACACACACACACACACACACACACACACACACACACTTCTTCAGTGAGGCTAAGCAGTTCGGAGAATGAATGAATGTACTTTTATTGGATTAATTCACTCCCAAATACCTATTTATATATCTTAAGACTCCACACATTCAATCACATGTACTTGTTTATATTTGTTTTCAAGAGCTGTGTATAATTCATTATCAATAAAATATACTACACCGGATGTGGATGTTAGCCTGATCGTCAAGAGACTCCTGCTAGACGATTTGACTACGACATCAAATTAAGTTCGCATTTTAAATCCAAATTCAATATATCCCTCTTAAACGGCATCTATAAAGGTAAGTAATCAACTCAACACTTTAAACAACAACCAATTCAAGGACGCTTCGACGCTTTTAATTCAATCTAGCTACAGCAATGGCCAAAGCTAGCTACCAATCTTCGAACTTCTGGGAAACTGTTACCAAAACGATCACACGTATGAGACCAATTTGACAAAAAGACAAACCCAAAGCATTCAATCGATAGACGGCCGCCTGGCTGCGTCCCTGTCCTCATTTAAAACGTCGTCTCTGCTTCGTCGTGGTGACTCGTTAGCAAGCTTCCTAGCAAAGGCGCAGGTTCACGGACGAGATGTTAATTCAATTGCGAGGTTCTCGCTTATACGCGAAAGATTGTCCCTGGTGATCTGTAAATGGACAGACACTAAGTGTGCTATTCCTCTTACTTCTACTACGTTACCCAGCTTGATATGGGTGAAACCATAACGTAGCAAAATAGGAAACATAAACGTGACAATGGTAACGCGCAACCGTTAGTCTTACCTTTGAGTGAAGGCGGCCATCTTGATAATGCCCCTGGTCAACTCCGCCTCTTACAAGTGAAGGATTTTCAGTCACTGTCCTAAACATCCACCGGGATCATGGATGAGAATTAAACATACAAACGCCAACAAAACAGCTTGTTTAAGTCGTATCAATACAAATTTACGTTCATATCATTACTTTATTCGCGTCCGTGTTTTTTTTTCCCGTGTGAGGTTAGATTAACGCGCGCGCCCGTATCCTCTCAAGCACGGACACGTCATCTCCAAGGTCTCGCGCTGGATCAGTTGCACGAATCAAGTCACTACAAATTCTTTGTAAAATGTCGCCAGTAGTATTAATGCGCTAAATCAAGTAACTGAAATGTGGCACTTGCTGTCACGGCCGTGCTTAATCTTGGGCAAAAACAATAGCCTGAGGCTCCAATTTTGGTGTTGCTGCCAGTTGTTGTAGTTTGCTTGCTTGAATGATTTTAATTCTCATTACACTCTCAATATTAATGAATACATGAAAGAAATTCTGATTGAATATTAACCCACTAGTTGAGCCCAGAGTTAAACGCAAACATGGTGAAACTGCATTTAGCTGCTGCACACAAATGGATAAACTCATGAAAGTGAAGTCAGCCCCAAGTGTCAATGCTTTTAAATCCAGATTGAAAGCTCGCCCTTCTATACATTTAATAAAGGTATTTTTTTCTTTTAGTAATTTTAGAAACCCATTTTTATTTCTTTACTTTTAAATGTTTTTTAAAGTCTTCTGTTAATGTGTTTAAATGTTGCCAATGTATGTTCTATTTGTAATTTTGGCGAGCGACTTTTGTTTTCTCTGCTTCTGTACGTCACTAGCTTCTGTGTTTGTAAATGCTTTTAGGCGCTGTCTGTGCTTCTGTGAAGTACATTGAGGTGCCCTGTGTATGAAATGTGCTATATTCTGTAAATAAATTGCCATGCCTTTCCTTTAAAATGTTTGATTTATCATGATCGTTTCGACTGCTCCCCATCCATTCTCATGCAATTGGGCAATGCGATCTTCCTGTTCATATGCAGACTTGATTCAGGAAGTGTAACAAATCAAACCCGTTGGCACTTTTGCTGGGAAAAGGAAATTGAGTTCTATCATGGAATAGAGCAGAGGAGAAGGCGAGAGGAAAATGTTTTTAATCGAGACTTACAAAGGTTTCAACCTTTTTCACAGTGACACCGAACGTCCGTACCGACAACTGAAAAGGGCAGATGCTCTTGACAGTTGCAGCAGTGCTGCTGTTGGTGTCACCGTAAGATGCAGTCGAGATGAAATGGAGTGTGAGACAAGGGATGCTTAATCACAAAGATGCGAGCATTAATATGTCGATTAATGATCTTATTAATTACAACAAAAGCGTTGGAATGATTCACTTGTTAAATAATCCTCAAGAAGGTTTTACGGAATTCATTTAGCTGAGGAAATGGGAAAAGTTTCTGAAATTCATGCTATTTCGCTTTGATAAACATTAACATTCTGCCTTTCACTTAGGTGTCTTCGCGTGATGTCAAGATGCAAACAGCATGATGAAGACCACTGTTTAAATACCAGTTCAAATTGAACTGGACATGTATTGGCTCATTCATTGATAAAACCTGTTGAGAATTCTGCCTTTGACTCCTTGTGAGAAAACATCAAGTTGTGCAGAAAGTACTGACACAATTGCATTCAAGGGTTCAGAGAAGGTTCAAGTAAGCTCCGTGAGAGCCATATCTTGCCTGTTTTAGATCTGTCTCTACCTCAACACACCTTGATTCAAATGATCGGCTCATCAGCAAGCTCTGTAGAGGCCTCAAATGATTATTAACAATTGAATCAGGCGTGTTGGAGGTGGGAGCAATCTAAAACAGGCGGGACGGGGCTCTCGAAGAACCAGAGTTCCCTGCCCCTGTTGTAAAGGTTGTCGCGCATTTTGGGTTCATCTTGAAATTTCACCTGAACGAACAATGTGCCATATTGAACTCACAGTACAGTATCAAAAACACCACGTATGTATAAATGATTATTGTGTATCGCCACACTGGAGTGAACATTTTTGGAACCCAGTTGTGCACAATTTATACAAAAGGGCCTTTAAAAACAAATAAATTCTTAATGCAAAGGTTAAGTTCTCAAGCAAAAGCACTCCAAGAATAGATTAAATAAAATAATCATACTACGAAGAGCCTTGGTTATACAGTACTAGTTTTTGGAAAGTTTTATTTAAAAAAATAAATGTATTGAAGTCTTTCTGGAAGATTCTTTTGCTGGATTCTGAAGGAACAACTACTAATGTATCACATCTGTCGAAAAGATTATCAAAGTGAGATAGAAAACAGCCCCAATCATAATCTTGTGTAAATGTTTTCTATGTCTCAATTCGAGATGTATATGTGAGATTTATTTTTTCCAAGTGGTACAAACACTAATTCACACTTTGAGCCTTTTAAGGCATATAAACCAAGTTTGAAAGAAGGATTCATTTTAAATTCATACTGATAATATAATAAACGATAAGAAATTGTAATTCCCAAAGCAGAATGATATAAATGCTCTGTCTTCTTGAATTAAGTGCAGGTGAGTCAATATTCGGTACACATTTTTGCTTTTTCTCAGAAACAACGCATTAGAAAAGTATAAAGTCTAAAAATATAGTACAAAAGATGTACACCCATGCACACAGCTACACGTACGAAAGTAAATTCCAGTGATAGGAGTCCTGCAGTGTACTCGTAGAGCAACACAAGCGTTTATTTTCCTCTCTCTCTATGTGTGCACCGGCGTTTCTCTCAGAGCTGAAACCTCCAGCAGAGGTGTCCCAGTCTGTCAATGTTCTTGTGCAGGACACTGTGAATCGGTGACACGTATCGTGCCACATCACCGTCCCGGGAGAAATCTCTGCAGAAAAGACCCTTGTCCGGGTTGAAGACAAATTTCTGAGGCATGGGACCATTGGCCCTCACATACTCCCATACTGCTAGCAGCAGCAGCCTCACCTCAAAAGGTGCAAGGTGGGAGAAAGCCTCGTGGACATTAGCCAGCACAGGAGGCAGAAGCTGGCCCTCACCCATGCAGGACACCAGGAGGCAGGAGGCCCGCAGATGCCACGGGGAGTCTGCGGATGAGGCCTCGCGAGACGCCTCCCAGTGGGCCAGCAGGGTGGCCAGGAGGCCTCTGAGCACTGCTGAGCAGTAACAAAGAGCCGGGCGTCCTGCTGCCACTACCTGAAGCAGAGTGAAGAGCACAGGGTGGGCCTCAAAGCAGCGCCGAATGTGAATGTCTCGTTCCACTGTGGTGCGGGTGTGCTCCTCGGGAGGCCAAGACAGCTCCCCGTTGGCCACGTCCGGACATACATTTTCCACCAGTGTGACAGCAATCACCTTGGCCGCCTCAGCGTTGATGGGCGGCGGTTCGTCAGGGTCTGCGGGTGGCCGTGAGCCGTTGAGACCAGAGGAGCTACAACACTGAACCACGACAGTCAACAGTGTCTGGATGTTCTAAAGAAGGGAGACAACAATGGTGATGTGCACATTCAGTTGTCAGGGGCAACTCATCTCAATATTTTTTTTTCTTTAGGCACCAAATAAGCCACATTCTGGCAAGCAGTACGGTTCAAATTGGTAAATCGTGGTCAGGCTGGCGTTCACTGTGGTGTGTGTGAAAAATTCACATTCAATGAGTACATGTTGAAGTGCCTTTCACATTATTAGGAAACTCAAGATGAACATGATAGAATTTCACTTAAATCTTAACACTGATCATTTTTCTTTAAGGGAAGTCTCTTTCCCAAATCAATAACTAATCTCTTTTGCCTACCTGGCAATAATAATGTTTATTTTCCAAATAAAAGGCAACTCCAAACATTTTATTGGCCAAAGGGTCCTCATGTTATAGTGGGGTTGCCACTATGACAGCGACAGAACCCCAATTTGTACTTAAATTGGAACGTGCCATTGTGTAATTACTAATCTACACTAATGCAGTAGTTAAACTATAATTAGAGGAACCGTTTGTTTGAAAGACAATTGATGAATATTAAAGAATCCAATGAAAAACAGCCAGTACAGCACAAATTGAGCATGCCTTCTTGAGCTGTGTGGTCTTACGGCAATGTGCAAACTAGTTCATTATCCATTACTGATAAGCTCGAAATATTGTAAGTTGGTGGCGTCATAAACCCACCCACTACTGGGTCCTGTAGCACCAGTTGACAATTACTGCTCAAGACTAATTAATGGACAGCACTGTGTTGAGCTCCACATTACACAACCGACTATATCATTATACTGCCAACGGGTACCACAACGCATACAATATGTGGGACAAAATGGGTCACTTTACAGTGGAAATACAGAAAAATAATATTGAAACAGTCTGGTACAAATTGTGCCGTTCGGTGGAAACGGGACTTATGACAGTTTTTTTGTTTTTGTTTTTTTATCCTCCGGACTGACTTTACTCACCAGAGTGACCCCGGATGGGTCAGGCTGAGGTGAATCAGTACGCATCTTCAATCCCTTGCCGATCACCCCAGCATGAAACACAGACCACACGCTTCCTGAAAAGTTGACCGTTGTACCGAACCGACAGTTGATGTCCAGCAAGGAGGCTCCGAGATCAAGGGATCCCGACTGGGAGGGCACAGGAGCGCCCGACATGTCTGCAATCTGCCCTCCGAAGAGCCCTGCGTTGCCTTTATGCAGCACTCCCTCTACCAGCTGCTGGAGCACTGCCTTGAGAGTAAGGGTGGAGTATGCAGCAAAACGGGACAGCAACTGGACAGAACAGCTCACGGCCTCGGCTGCCTGTCCCCCGTCTCTCCCCACCTTCCCCACTTCCCCTCGCCTCCGCAGAGCGAGGAAGAAATGAGCGACAGCAGCACGGGAGAGCAGGAGGAGGTGTGCCGGGGAGGCCGTGCGAGGGAGCGGACTGG